ATCATTTTTTGTTTTGTTTTGGGACCTGGTTGACATAGAGTTTTGGTGGGACATCAGGCTGCTAACTAGTAATCGGACCAAATGCCCAAAAGTCATGAGGACATTGACATGAATGAAATATCATTTACTCATTCTATCAAATGAACATAGACACTTACATGAAGGTGTGTGCTGATTGAAAGCCTTTCTTGTACAAAATAGAAATCATGAAGGAGGTCATTAGAAGGGAGAAGGAGGCCGGGATCACCCCTGACCCCGACATAGATACTTACATGAAGGTGTGTGCTGATGGAAACCCTTTCTCCGATAATATTGAATCAAAACTGGAAACGCCAACCTTTTTGCCAAGTGCTAACATTATTTTTCAGTGGGATTCTTTCCTATTGATTCTAAGAAAAAAAAAATCATATAACCAAATATACAGTTACAACTGGTATGCACTTTTTTATAGGCAATATGTGTGGAAGGTTTGGAAAGAAGCATGCAAACAGACTACATTATGAAGGTAAATAATGTTCAAAGAAGAATACACACATGTTCTGGAGTACAATGTTTTGCCTATGCATAATCTATTCTCGCCTCACAGATAATGGGACTTGACACATGTGCTGATGTACTAGTCGGAGATGCCATGAGAAGAGGTATTTCTGGCGGTGAGAAGAAAAGACTAACCACAGGTGAATTCAGACATATGACATTTTCAGGATGGTTTTATCATCTCAGCTATATAATCTTGTAAATAATATTTTTGCAAGATAAATAAGTAAATAACTGCGCAATTCATTCACTAAAATTCAGTAAGTGCATATTGGAAGGTACACACCTCATTTTTGGTGGCTAATTGATTTCGTCAATATTTCCTGTACTTGGTTATTACCATGAGCCGATATGAAAGTCTTGTCACAACAAACCACAAATTTCTGTTGTGATGAAAGCGCGCAAGCCATTCTGATAGATGAATCAACTTAGTACGATTTTCTCCACTGTTTTAGAATGTACTCTCTCCGTTCCCAAATATTTGTCTTTCTAAAGATTTCAACAAGTGACTACATACGAAGCAAACTGAGTGAATCTACACTCTAAAATATGTCTACGTACATCCGTATATTGTAGTCCATTTGAAATGTCTAGAAAGACAAATATTTAGGAACGGAGAAAGTAGCTAGTAATGTGATATATCCAGTTTAATCCGTACTTTGTTGGTGTGTATAGGATAAATAAAATCAATTAATTCAATACTGAATGCTTATTTTTTTTCACTTGTAAAAAATATCTTCCAAGCAGGAGAGATGATAGTAGGACCATCAAAAGTGCTCTTCATGGATGAAATATCAACTGGGCAGGACAGTTCTACCACCTTCCAAGTTGTTTCTTGCCTCCAACAACTAGCTCATATATCAGAGTTTACCATACTCGTCTCACTCCTTCAACCAGCACCAGAGACCTACAACCTTTTTGACGATATTATCTTGATGGCTGAAGGACAAATCGTATACCATGGCCCTAAGAACTGCATTATGAGTTTCTTTGAATCATGTGGCTTTAAGTGTCCCGAAAGAAAAGGAAGCGCCGACTTCCTTCAAGAGGTATTTAGCAAAATACTAATTTACATACTCTGATTTTTCTTATATTACAATTCTCTTGTACAGACATGTTTCAAGTTTCAACTGTAAGAGTTACAACTACAGTTTAATGAAAGTAGACATTGTTAATATGAAGTAATTGGGTATAGATTATGATAACCTGAGTTTGCCTTGCTTATTTGTACCTTTTCTTACCATCATAAACTTCCACTCTTCAAAACTTATGTATACATAGGTCTTGTTAAGAAAAGATCAACAACAGTACTGGAGCCACACTGAAGAAAGATATAATTTTGTTACAGTTGACCAATTCTATGATAAGTTCAAAGCATCTCAAAGTGGTCGGAATCTTGCCGAGGAGCTTTCAAAGCCGTATGACAAATCAAAAGGACATAAAAATGCCCTGTCCTTCAGTATCTACTCATTATCCAAGTGGGATCTCCTCAAGGCATGTTTTGCACGCGAGCTACTTCTTATGAAGAGGAATGCCTTCATCCACATAACAAAAGCCGCCCAGGTAAGCAAGTCGAAGCTATCGTTTACAAAAAAAAATCGTGATTGATGCATGGAGGTTTGTGGCTAGCTAGTTTAGTTGTTTCACAGCGCTATCACGAATGTCACATGCTAGGTGTTTATGAGTGTAAATCAAGTTCTAGTCTGTATGCACAATCCTCAAATTACACGCTTTATGCTTAGTATTAGTTACAGATAGAAATATAGCAGAAACTACAAGCAAGGTGGTGTGATAAAGTTCCTGTGTGTTAACTAGCGTACTACATGTTTTCGCTGCAGCTTGGGCTATTTGGTCTTATTACTGGGACGGTATTTCTGCGGACACGTATGGGTGTTGACAGAACTCATGCTAACTATTATATGGGTTCACTCTTCTATGCACTCCTGCTGCTGATAGTGAATGGATTCCCTGACCTGGCCATGGCAATCGAAAGACTGCCGGTCTTCTACAAACATAGAGACAACTACTTCTATCCTGCATGGGCTTATGCAATACCATCTTTTATCCTAAAGATTCCATTCTCTTTAGTTGGATCGGTAGCTTTGACATCGATATCCTACTACTTGATTGGCTATACCCCAGAAGCATCCAGGTAAAGTCATAATTCTGTTGTAGAAACTAATTAGCTGGTGGTAAAGAAGCACTAATTCAACTACAACAACATTTCCTATCATCATTCAGGAATTATATATCACCATTGTCCCATTCTGAGTAATTCAGATGTGGAGTATAATCACCAAGTGAAAAAAAACTTGCTTTGTCCCATTCCGAGTAAAAGTATAAATCATTCTTTATATTGGTTTTGCAGTGATCTGCGTGTTCTGAAATCAAAAATAAAATTTACTTACCTAACACTATCTTTGCTTCTCTTTGATTATTGGGACTTGATTATTTCCACAAAACCTAGGTTTCAGATGCAATTCTGACTTTGTGTTAAGACCCACGATTCTTATGTTCAGGCTTTTCTATCAGCTCCTCATCCTCTTCCTGATGCACACAGTAACATTATCAATGTTCCATTGTGTTGCCACATACTGTCAAACAATGGTGGCTGGTTCTGTTGGTGGTACTCTGGCATTTCTATTCCCCCTTTTATTTGGGGGTTTCTTAATTCCTCGCTGTAAGACACTCCCTTATTTTCGAAGCTTCATATTGCTAATAAGTGATGTGTCCTAATTTCTTGCAAACGTGTGTCGTACTCAACTAGTATTAAACAAGCGCCGCTAACAATTTCAGTCCCATATTGCTACAGCATTTCTGCCTAATGGGCTAAAATGGGTATTTTGGGTATCTCCATTGTCTTACGCGGAGATAGGCTTGACTCGAAATGAGTTTTTGGCACCCAGATGGTCAGAGGTACACTTTGGCATACCAACAATGAGTTATTTGTAAAAAATGCAATCCTAAACGATACTAAAGTTCCTTTGTTGATAGATCACTATATCTGGCGTAACACTCGGAAGGAGGATACTAATGGATCAAGGTCTAGACTTCTCCAGCTACTTCTACTGGATCTCAGTTGGAGCATTGATTGGGTTTACTTTGTTGTTCAATGTAGGCTTTGCCATTGGCTTGACCGTTAAAAACCGTAAGTGTGACATGGCTTAAATTCCATTAAGCTAATTAGCTAAATAAGTCAAATACTTTACTTTCTTTCTAGCAGTATAACATGAATGTAAACTTAGCCAAGCATATTCTGGAGAAAACATAACATCAGAAATGGAAGAAAAAAAATTCAATTTAGAAGAACATGTTGTTTGCTCTTGTTAGATATGCCATCTTTTCTAATCTTCTCTTAGCCTCTCGGTTCCAGCATCTTCTCGTGCTATTATCTCTTGCAATAAGATTACCGCACTTGGTGGAAGAAACCAAGATAAGGATGCCGAAAATGTGAGGCCTAAGTTACATGCAGAAACTTCATTGATACCCAATACCATTGGTTAGTTGAATTTTAAACGATGCAACTAAGCACAACTCATACTATTGATGGAATATAATCAAGATTTGACTTATCAATATTAAATCTTGTGCAGGGAGGATGGTATTGCCTTTCACACCCCTTGCAATATCTTTCCAAGATGTCAACTACTACGTAGACACCCCCACGGTAATACTCATGTAGCTCGAACATCTATGAACACATGACTAGAGAGCTTAATTATAGCCATAGCAAGGGCTGATAAACAATAACTAAGTATTTCCTCATTGCAGGAAATGAGGGAGCATGGTTTCATGGAAAGAAAACTACAACTACTCCATAATATCACAGGAGCATTTCAGCCGGGGGTTCTATTGGCACTCATGGGGGTTACTGGAGCGGGGGAAACAACACTCCTTGATGTTCTTGCTGGAAGGAAAACAGGAGGTGTTATTGAAGGGGAAATAAGAATAGGGTTATCCTAAAATTCAGGAAACTTTTGCTAGGATATCAGGCTACTGTGAACAGACTGATGTTCATTCCCCACAAATCACAGTAGGTGAATCAGTTGCATATTCCGCTTGGTTGCGCCTTCCACCAGAAACTGATTCAAAAGCAAGAAATGTGAGTTATATTTGATTCTGCAACGAAACATAATCTACAAATATGCAAGTATATATGGATAGAACGTACTACCTCCATCCCAAATTATAAGACATTTTGGTAGCCTAGCAAAACTTCTTATAATTTGGGACAGAGGAATAGTGTACATGGTTTGCATACTAGCAGCTGAGATGTGAAACTCTGAGCTCATCTGTATTCCTTACCCTTGCAGGAATTTGTCAATGAAGTTCTTGAAAAAATTGAGTTGGATGAAATAAGAGATTCTTTGGTTGGAATACCAGGGGTAAATGGATTGTCGACAGAGCAACGTAAACGGCTCACTATAGCAGTCGAGCTTGTGTCTAACCCTTCAATCATATTCATGGATGAGCCAACATCAGGCTTGGATGCAAGGGCAGCTGCTATTGTCATGCGTGCAGTCAAGAATGTTGCAGACACGGGTCGAACAGTCGTGTGCACCATTCACCAACCAAGTATCGATATATTTGAGGCATTTGATGAGGTAATTACTTGACATATATATAGCCTTCTGACCTTCTCCATGACTCTCTCTAGGCACCAAGACATAGTGTATTAAGTAATAAATTTTAAGGTGTAAAAATCTAATATAGATTTGCAGATTTATTATATTGGATAAGTATGTCAAAAAAAGTTTTGATTTGATAAAAATGAATTAAAATGCTGCTACCATATCCTGAAATTTTGAAGCCAGGTCATACAATTAACCATCAGAAATGGAACAAATTGCATGCTACCTCAGATAGAGAATCATCACTTTATCCACCAGAAATGAAAGAACCCAAATTAAGTCCAAGATAGAGTCTGCCTCAACTAATTTTTCAAGAAGTTAACAATGTAATTTTCTGAATTTTCACTATGATTGGCATGGAACCTCTGTTCTGTTGTATCATTAACAAAGATGGTGTTAAAATGTGCTGACATATTCGTTTCATGGGGTAGGAAATTCCCAGATTAGTTGGAGAATAGAGAAAAATATCTACAACACTTGGTTGGGTTTAGCAGTGCAACTTAAGTAGATGCATATGGCAACAGCTGCATAGATTTTCATTAATAAGTATTCAAGTTCATTAATAAGTATTCAACTAAACTGTAAACCCTAGTTCAATATAATTTTTCATACATTATTAATCAGATATTCCTCAACCAAAATAATTCATTTGGAAGTGAAGTACCATATTTACTAATTATGTTGTTATATAAATATAGTTGATGCTCATGAGAAGAGGCGGAGAGTTGATCTATGATGGGCCAGTTGGACACCATTCTTGTGAGGTCATCCAATATTTCCAGGTAATTAGGAATTTTAACTCATCCTTGCTTTAAAGGACTGAACAAATGCATGTATGCTTTGTAATTGTATATCATCCACTTGTATATGACATAGGCCAGTTTAATTAAACATACCATTTACATTAAACAAACGTAACAAGATTTGGTTTTCATATTTTTCTCTATTTTCAAAATTTATGTTTTTTGCACCGAAAATTCATGAAGTTATGTATTATTGTGAACCCATATTTAGCCTTGTGATTCGCATTCTACGTACCACTGAAGGGGATGAGCTATATAATCACAGTTGTAGTCTATTTTGATCAGAGAAGGCTATACGTAGTTCACCACCAGTCCACCGCCTGACTTTTCTCCCCAATTGTTTTGCTACAAACTGGTGATTTTTTTATTCTTCTAGGCAATACATGGGATACCTAGGATCAAGGACAACTACAACCCATCAACATGGATGCTAGAAGTTACTTCTACATCTATGGAAGCTCAAGTGGGAGCAGATTTTGTACAAATGTATAGGGCATCGTCAATGTGCAAGTAAGTTTCAACGGACCGGCTCAGTTAGCAATAGTGCCTTAACATCTGAATTATAATCACTACATGATAGATTATGCATATTAAAATTGCGTCTCAGAACCTTCCACAATATCTAAGAAAAACAAAACACATAAGCATGGGTCACATACCATGCTTAACAGAGATCTCATTCAGCCTTTAAACTAATCCTAACATAATATTTGTGCTAACCAAGATGTAAATTTGGTGCTCAAAGGGACAAAGACATGTTGGTAAAGCACTTGAGCGTACCAGTTCCAGGCACGAGTGACCTCCATTTCGCGACAAAATTTCCACAGAAGTTTCGGGAGCAATTCAAAGCATGTCTCTGGAAGCAGTACTTGTCGTATTGGAGAAGCCCTTCCTACAACCTGGTGCGACTGGCGTCCATGTTAGGCTTCTGCATTTTCTTCGGCGCATTGTTTTGGCAGCGAGGCAACATCAACCACATGTATGTAGTCATCTCTTAATTATGCATATATCTTTTTTCTGCAAAAAATTATGCATAAATCTTAAATCATGCTGCTGCTTGTTTTGTTTATTTCTTCGATTTTCGTCAATATGACAAACACTGCTTCCAGAGACAAGCTTAATTATGCATATATCTATTATGGACATGTATGTGGCAATATATGATTGAAGCTGCTGCTTATTTTGTTTGAGGGTAGAAACGACCAGCGAGGCCTCTTCACCATATTGGGGTGCATGTATGGAATCACTCTGTTCACCGGCACCAACATTTGTCAGGCAGTGATGCCATTTGTCTCCATCGAGCGCTCCGTTGTTTACAGGGAGAGGTTTGCAGGGATGTACTCTCCTTGGGCCTACTCTTTTGCACGGGTCCTATTCATCACGTGAAGATTTTTCAGATAGATTATGCTACTGCTATATATGTGCAGACATTGACTTATACCTCTTTGGATTTAGGTTGCCATGGAGATACCTTATGTGCTGGTTCAAGTAGTGATGTTCATGTTGATAGCATATCCGATGATCGGGTACGCGTGGACAGCAGCGAAATTCTTCTGGTTCATGTACACCATGTCGTGCACGCTGCTCTACTTCGTCTACCTGGGAATGATGATTGTGTCGCTCACCCCTAACATCCAACTTGCATTCATACTTACATCTGTGTGCCACGGCCTGCAAAACCTCATCTCCGGCTTCCTCGTGCCTGCTCCGGTAAGTGAAGCCATCTCAATATATATACACACACACATTTATACATATATGATTACCATTAGAGATAAAAAAGGATGGTGCTTACAAAGGATTCATGAACATATGGCAGCAAATACCGAGATGGTGGATATGGCTCTACTACGTCTCCCCAATGTCATGGTCGCTCAATATCTTCTTCACCACACAGTTCGGGGATTACAACGACAGGATGATAGTCGTGTTTGGAGAGACCAAATCCGTCGCAACATTCGTGAAGGACTACTATGGTTTTCAACGCGATCTGCTGCCACTGGCAGCCGTGGTTCTGGCGGCGTTCCCCATAGTTTTTGCTGTCCTCTTCAGTTACAACATCTCAAAGCTCAATTTCCAAAGGCGATAAACACACA